AAGGGCAGGAGCATGGGGCAGCACCTCTGTCTCAGTTGAATGAGACTCAAGTGTTTTGCTAAGGAGGATGAGTTATGAGGAAGACCAAACTCCTCCCTGTAAGCAATTGTAAATCGGAAATGAAGAGACTCCAATTGAGGAAGTATGGAGAAAGGAAAAATAACAGCTCTTTCTTAAAGGATATCTGTGTAATGGCAGAACAACAAAAGAACACAAACCCAACCAACCAATGATCCTGTCCCCAAAAATACCCTTCCAAAGGAAAGAGTTGGGAACTTTCTGCCTTTTGGCACAATTCTAATCCCGCCCAGCAGGGAGCGCTGTTGGCCCGGGAATGGAGATTCCCCTGCAGAGAGAGGGAAAATGGGAAAAGGGGAAAAAGGGGAAAAAGGGGAAAGGGGAAAACGGGAAAAAGAGGAAAAAGAGGAAAAGAGGAAAAAGGGGAAAAGGAGAAAAGGGGAAAAATGGAAAAAGGGGATTCTTCCCATTAAACTCCTGCTGTCTACAGCTGGCTGTGGCTGGGAATTCTCCCTTTTGGCCATTGAACAGATGCCACTGCTAACACGGGAGCGGAGGAGGGAAAGGGCGACCTCCTCCCCAAAAGGTTCCTCTGTAGGGGGGTCAAACCTCTCCCATGAAGTCCGAGCAGGTCCGGGCTGGGGGCAGAACAGGGCCCAGGAAACGAAGGCAAACGGGAACCAGCAAACAGCCAGATGAGCAGGCCCAGAACAAAACGACCTCGGAGCCTCTCCAACACACACCTTACCTGAGCTAAGGCCAAAGGGAAGTGCCTTGCCCTTTGCCCAGGAGAAAGCAAAAAACTCCACCCCCCCTACAATCTTCTGAGGGCTCCCAACCTGCAATGTGGGCTGGGCCAGTTCTTTTGTGTGTGTGAGTCCCCCAAGGCAAAGCACCCTCCCCCATTCAACATCTTTCTTTTCCAGTGGGGCAGGGAAAGAAAAATTCCTGCTTGGTTTTTTAGAACAAGTAAAGCTATGAGAGGGATCCCCTCCCCCTTGCCCTCACTGCCCCCCCAATAACAGAGACTGGGGAGAGCTGGGAAGCTTTACTGGGAACACTGGGAGCAGCCAGCTGGGGTCAGAATAAAAGCAGGGACAGAGGGGACACACGACCCCCCAAACTCAGCGTGGGGATGGACTGGGGGGTCCCGGCTGGGCCCGAGGCCATGGGGAGGGGCTGCGGCCGCCGCAGGAGCTCTGTGGGGAGAGAAAAGGGGGTGAGAGCGGGGTGGGGGACAGGGGGTCACACACATTCTGGGGGGGACCACAACCACCGGGGACCCCCTTTTACCTTCTCCCACAGGTAAAAGCCGAGCCCCAGCGCCAGGAAGACCAAGCCCAAGACGAAGCCCCCGACCCCCACCAGGATCTTGCTGCGGACGGTGTCCGGTGGCATCTCTGGGGGGAGCCGGGGGGGTCAGCACCCCCAAAACTGCCCATGGACAACCCAGGACCCCACAAACCCCATCTTAGTCTCTCCCAGCACACCCAGCACCCCCTGAAACCTCCTCCCAGTCCCTTCCCAGCCCCTCCGGGATCCCACAAAGCCCTTCCCAGCCCCTTTAGGACCCTCCAAGCCCCCTCCCATCACCCCCAGGACCCTCCTGTAACCCCTCCCAGTCCCTTCCCAGCCCCCTCAGGACTTCTCCAAACCTCTCCCAGTCAATCCAAGACCTCACAAACTCCCTTCCAGCCTTTCCACACCACTCCTGCAAACTCCCTCCCAGTTGCCCCCAGGGCCCCCCGAGCCCCCGTCCCCCCTGGCAGTGTGCCCCCGGGGCTGGGGGGGCCGGGCCGTACCCCAGTGCCGGCTGAGGGGGTGCTCCAGGCTGACGTGCTCCACCTGGCAGCTGTAGGTGACCCCGCGCCGGGGGGGGGATTTCCAGCCTCACCAGCACCTGGTAGGTCCAGTCCCCGTTGGGGACCACGTCGGTGGCCACCACGTGCTCCGGCAGCTCCTGCCCATCCTGGAACCACCTCACCTGCACCGGCGCAGGGTAGAAATCCATCACGGAGCAGAGCAGGCGGCCGGGGCCGGGCTGGGAGCTCGACGGCACCAGCGAGATGGACACGTTGGGGGGCACTGGCAGAGACGGGGGAGACACTGGGCTGAGCTGGGGGGCACTGGGAGGGAGAGGAGAGGGCTTGTAGGACACTGGTAGGGATTGGGATGGCACTGGGAGGGACTGGGATGGCAGTGGGAGGGACTGGGAATAGAGTGGGGTAGAAGACGAGGGGCTGGGGGGGAACTGGGGAGAGAGTTGGGAGATGTGGGAGTGAAGTGAGAAGGACTGGGAATGGAGTGAGAGGATCAGGGAGTGGATCGAGAGGGTCTGGGAGTGACTGACTGGGCTGGACTGGGAAGGAAGCGAGCGGGACTGGGAGGCTGAGTCCTGGTGAGGGAACTGCGCTGCGGGTCTGCCTGGCAACGGATGAGTCATCGGAGAGAAACGCTGTGATTGGCTGAGGGGCGTGAGCTCGGTGGCCTCAGCGGGGTGGAGACGCGGGGGGGCACTGGGAGAGACTGGGATGGATTGGGATGGACTGGGGGGCACTGGGTGGGGGCGAAAGGCCACGGGGTGGGGCACAGGGAGGGCTGAGGGGTCTGGGGTGATTCCCTGGGAGGGTTTGAGGGGCTCCAGGGTCATTCTCGGAGCAGGGGCCGAGGGGACCCGCTCTGCCCCACGCTCACCTCTCCTCTCCACGGTGAACGGGGCGAACACCTCGTAGTTGTGCCGGCAGAACGTGTCCACCTGAGCCCGATAGAACTCTAACCCTTCCAGTTGGCTGTTCCAGGACCTGGCACAGAACTCCCCAAACGTGGTGTCCCCCACAGTGACTCCCACATCGCTGTCGAAGTGGGCGAACTGCTCCCGGTTGTAGATGTTTCTCTGCACGAACCTCACCCGCTCCGTGCCGTTGATGAAGTGACACTCGTTCTTTGTCATGTGCTGGAACACCCCTGTGTGTGCAGGACACAGGTCAGGGGGTGCCATCTCCCCCCCCCATCATCCCTCAGCCCCCCAGAGCAGGGTGGGAGCTCAGGGGGCCACCCCGGACCCCCCTTTCCCACCTCCCTCTGTCCCAGGGCTGCCCCAGCACCGGCTCTTGGGTGGGGGGGGAACCCCCCCATCACCCCTCCAGGGGTGGACAGGGGGGTTGGGGACCCCCCACTGCGGATCCGAGCCCCCCGCCCCGAGCCCCAGGGAACCGCTCCAGGGCTCAAGGGACACCGAGGGACCCCTATGGCACCCCTCTGCCTGCTGTCCCACTCCGCCTTTGCCCCCTCTCCCACCCCTTTCCCACCGTCCCCCCAATCCCCAGACTCCCCGCCCTCACTTTGGGGCTCCCACCCCCCTCCCACTCATTCCGAAGCTTCCAACCCCCCTCGCACTCACTTTTGGGGCTTCCAACCCCTCTTTTCTCCCCTCTTTCCCTTCCTTTCCCACTCGCCCCCCCTTCCCGCTCCCCGCGCTCACCCGACAGCTCCTCGCCCGCAGCCGGGGGGGCTCCCAGCACCACCAGGACCGCCAGCACGGCCCCAGCTCCCCGCACACGCTCCATGCCCAGCGCCGGACAGCTGCTGACACCCCAAAACCAGCCGGGCGGAGACGTTTTGGGAGGGTTTGGGGCGCGCTCGGATTGGCTGAGGGCGCAGTTGGAGACACTTTGGGCGAGGTGTCTTCCCGGCGACTGATGAGTCATCAGCGCGGCGCGCTGGGATTGGGCGCGGGCGGCGTGGGCGCTTTGGGATTGGCTGAGGGCCGTTGGGGGCCCCCGAGGCAGCCCCGGGGCTGGGGGGTTCTGGGGGGTCCGTGGGCTGCGGGGGAGGGGGGAGCTCAGGGTCGCCCAAAAATGCCCATCCAGGGCTCTCGCAGCTCCGACGGGCCCCCAAAATCACCTCCGGGCGTTCTCGGATTGGCTGAGCACGGGGAGGGCTCCGTTCGGGACGAGTCTGCCCGGCAGCTGATGACGCGCCAGCAGCGCTCGCTCCCATTGGATGCTGCTGCTGACCCTGCCCGGGCCTTGGGGGGTCAGAGGTGGGTTTGGGTGGTCCCAGATTCCTGGGGTTGGGGTTTGGGTTGACCTGGATACGCGGGAATGAGATTCTTGGTGGTTGCGGGTGCGGGTGGCCGCAGGTAACCTCCTGTTCCTGGGATTTTGTGGGTCTGGGAGTGCCCAAACCCTCCTGTTCCCAGGTCTTTTAGGGTCTGGGAGTGTGCAAGCCCCTCTTTTCCAATATTTTCGACTGTGGATGGGCCCAAACAACCTTTCTCCAGGACTGCGTGGGTCTGGGAGTGCCCAAACACCCCTGTTCACAGGATTTTTTGGGTCTGAGTGTGTCCAAACCCCCCTGTTCCCAGGATTTCTGTAGTCTGGGAGTGTCTAAGCCCATCTTTTACAATATTTTGGGCTCTGGGAGTGCCCAAACCCCCCTGTCTCTGCGCTTTTTAAGGTCTAGGAGAGCCCATACCCCTCTATTCCCAAGATTTTTGGGGTCCGAATATTTCAAAATCTTGTATTCCAGGGTTTGGGGGGGGCTGACATTGCTCAAACCTCCCTGTTTTCATGATTTTGGAGCTCTGCATGTGACCAAACTCCTTTCTCCAGGATTCTGTAGTTCTTGGAGTGCCTAAACCCCCTGTTCCCAGGATTTTTATTTTCTGGGAGTGCCCAAACCCCCCAGTTCCTGGGATTTTCACTGCCCCCCAACTACCCCCCAATAACCAGCATTGCAGAGAACTGGGAAGCTTTACTGGGAACACTGGGAGCAGCCGGCTGGGGCGCGAACAAAAGCAGGGCCGGGGGGGACACACGACCCCCCAAACTCCAGGCAGGGCTGGACTGGGGGGTCCCAGCTGGGCCCGAGGCCATGGGGAGGGGCTGCGGCCGCCAGCGGCTCAGGAGCTCTGTGGGGAGAGAAAAGGGGGTGAGAGCGGGATGGGGGGGCAGGGGGGGCACAGATGCTGTGGGCAAGGGGGGGACACGACCCCCGGGGACCCCCCTTTTACCTTCTCCCGCAGGTAGAAGCTGAGCCCCAGCGCCAGGAAGACCAAGCCCAAGATGAAGCCCCCGACCCCCACCAGGATCAAGCCCCTCTCAGCCCCCCCAGGTGTGAGATCGGTGGCACCAGCGGGGTGCAGAGGCGGGGGGGACAATGGGAGAGACTGGGATGGACTGGGAAGAACTGGGAGGGGGCAAAAGGCCACAGGGTTGGGCAGAGGGAGGGCTGAGGGGTGTGATGTAATTCCCAGGGAGGGTTTGAGGGTTTCTGGAGGTGGACACCTCGTAGCTGGGCTGGCAGACCGTGTCCACCATTCCCCAATAGACCTCCAGAAAGTCCTGTTTGCTGTTCCAGATCCTGGCCTGGATGTCCCCAAACAGAGTGTCCCCCACATAGACCCCACATTGCTGTCGAAGTGCAGGAGCTGCTCCCGGTTGTAGATTTGCCTGTGCACGTAACTCACCCACTCGGTGCAGTTGATCAAGTGACACTCGTTCTTTACCATCTCCTGGAACACCCGTGTGCAGGACATGGGTCAGAGGGTTGCCCATGCCCACCATAATCCCCCAGCCCCCCACAGCAGGTTGGGAGCTCAGGGGGCCACCTTGGACCACCTTTCCCACCCCCCTCTGCCCCACGGCAGCCCCAGCACTGGCTCTTGGGTGGGGGGAACCCCCACATCAGATCCACTGGGATGGACAGGGGGTTTGGGGACCCCCTCACTGTGGATCCGACCCCCTCAGAGAACCAGGGAACAGCCCCAGGGCTCAAAGGACACCCAGGGACCCCCATGGCACTCCTGCCCCTAAATGGAATTGTCAAGAATCCAAAAGTCAGCCCCCTCCATTCTTCAAGAAATCTTTCGACCTCTTGACTCAAAGCATGCAGGACTCGGCTCCCCCAATTTTCTCTCTGGCCAGGCTTTGCAGGGGCTGCTTGGCAAAGGGAAGCCCTGGGGCCCCAGTGCAGATGGCTGGGGCTGCACTCTGGGGGTGTGGGCCTTTGGCTCTTGGCTTGCAGGGGCCAGCAGGAGTCAGGGAGCCGGGCTGGGGACCAGGGGCAGGACTGGCTGGGCTTGGCTCTGGTGCCTGGCCCAGCAAATGGAAGTGTCCCCATGGGGGCAGCTGGAAAGGGCCCAAGAAGGAAATGCTGCCCCAGCGCAGGCTGTGGCAGTGGGGAGTGTGCAGGGGGGAGGAGGCTGGGCCAGAGCAGGGCTGGGCAAGAATGGCCAAGGCGCGGGTGGGTTCTCCCCCGGCCCCCAGGGCCCAGCCCCTGATGGGAGGGCCTTGGGCAGGGCCTGGTGCCACTGCAGGAAGCTGCGAGGCAGCCGAAGGGCCGTGCTTTTGGCAGGTGGGTTGACAGGCCCAGCTCTCTGCAGGAGAAGCTGAGGGCTCGGAGCCAGAGAGGGGATGAGAGCCGGGTCCAGGCTTGGCAATTGCCAGGAGGGCTTTTGAAAGGAGCGGAGGGGAAAGGGATGTCGAAGAACAAGTCCCTTAGGAGAGTGTTCTGCTTTGGAGCTGGCTCTCTGCCAAGTCTCCAAACCTTAGCACAAGAAGTCCCCCCGCCAACCCAAAGCAAGGGAGAAGAGGGGAAAAAAACCAAAAGAACCGAAAATGAGAGAGAGACAAAGCAATCGATAGAAATATATTTCTATTCCAGTTATGGACAGTTGAAATATATCTACAATTCCACAGGGAAAAGGGAAAGGGGAAGGGAAGAAGAAAACCCAAAAGAACAGATAGATATATATATCTCCCGATCAGTAGCCCAAGGTCTATCAACT